TCCCCTCATTTGAATATTAAGCTCACTTCTGTGAGTTTGTGTTAGTTCCAAAGGGTTTTATTTTCTTCATTAGATGAAACCTAGCTCCTTGAAAAACACTGGACAGGGTTTAAACACTACTAATTAGGGACATTTCACAGAAAACAGTGAACACATTTTCATTTAGATACATTATTCTGCCCTTAATTTAGAAATCAATCAATAAACTGAAAGTGAAACTTAGATAGTAGAAAATTCTAAAGGTATGAAGAATACTTCATGATAAAGGAATCTCTTCACTTCTAATTACCCATGTCTTGTTTTAAAGGCAAAGGCAAGGTTTGTTATGAGTTCTGTGAATTCTTTTTTTTGGCAGTCATGGGGCTTGAACTCTGGGCCTGGGCGCTGTCCCTCAGCTCTTCAGCTCAAGGTTAGCACTCTACCACTTGAGCTACAGCGCCACTCCCAGGTTTCTGGTGGTTTATTGGAGATAAGAGTTACATGGAGGGGCTGGGAAGGTGGCTCAGTGGTAGAGAGCTTGCCTTGCATGCATGAGGCCCTGGATTCGATTCCTCAGCACCACATAACCAGAAAAAAAAAGCCGGAAGTGGCGCTATGGCTCAAATGGTAGAGCGCTAGCCTTGAGCTGAAGAGCTGAGGGACAGCACCCAGGCCCAAAGTTCAGCCCCATGACCGGACCCCCCCCCCAAAAAAAAAAAAAAGAGTTACATGGAGTTTCTTGCCCGGGCTGGCTTTGAACCGCGATCCTCAGATCTCAGCCTCCTGAGTAGCTAGGATGACAGGCGTGAGCCACAGGCACCCGGCTAGTTCTGTGAATTCTTGTAGAAATATTTTGTGTGTGCATATGTGTGTACGTGTGTGTGTATGTGTGTGTGTACGTGTGTGTGTGTACGTGTGTGTGTGTACGTGTGTGTGTACGTGTGTGTGTGTACGTGTGTGTGTGTACGTGTGTGTGTGTGTGTGTACGTGTGTGTGTACGTGTGTGTGTGTGACTGGCCTTGCTCCCAGGGGCTTGTGGAAGGGTAAGCTGTGTTCAAGGCTGCAGAGAGTCCCTTGCGGCCATGCAGGGAGGGCTGATGAGGTAATGGTGCAGCAGGGGCATTGCTGTCTTGCTATGCAGGCAGTGTTAGGTAAAGACGGCCCTGTACCCCCTCCACAGGCCACACGTACATCTGTGGTGCTGTCAGGAAGCCAAGTGTCCAAAAGACTGTCCTCGAGCCAGGAACTGGTGGCTCACGCCTCTGATCCTCACTACTCAGGAGGCTGAGATTTGAGGGACACCTTTCAAAGCCAGCCCAGGCAGGCAAGTTCATGAGACTCTTATTTCCAATTAACAACCAAAAACTGGAAGTAGAGCTGTGACTCAAGTGGTAGAGTCCTAGCCTGGAGAACAAAAGCTCAGAGACAGCACCCGAGCCCTGAGTCCATGCCCCAGGACACAGAATGTACCCCAGTTCATTTGGAGAAGGGAGATAGGGAGTAGTAATACTGAGTGATACGGCCTCGTGCACAGAACAGGAAACTCTGCCGGCGCTCTAGCGCTGACCCACGTCACCTGAGCACACGGCGCTCTAGCGCTGACCCACATCACCTGAGCGCAGCGAGGAGGCCTGCGGCTGCTGTGTGCCCGGGGCGGCGGCGCAGATGGGACTGGAGGGCGCTGGTCACGGTGGGTGTTGTGCCAGGGAGCAGGTCCCAGGAGCTGCTGGGAGCTCATTCTTGACATCTTTGAAGAAATTGGAAACAAGTGTAGAGTCGCCACTGTGCGGTGTAGTAGTGAAGCCAGGCCAGAAGCCAGGCTGTAAAAGTACTGTAATTTAAGTAAGCTTTTGGTTAATTTAAAGGCCTGGGAGCTCTACCAGCTCCCAACCCATAGTCTTCTGTTTCTTTCCTATGAAATTACATTAATTAACCAGTGCTAGGAACTGAGGCCAGGGCCTCGGGAAAGGTGGGTGAGCATTCTGCCACTAACCTGCGCCCTCACCCCTTCCCTACCAGTGGCAAGTCGTCCAGGTATTGAGTTGAGGGATTCAGCAGAGACACACACTTGGAAAGGAAGAACGG